CCCACCCACCCACCCACCCACCCGTGGGAATCATCTTCACCCGTGGGAATCAGATGTTTGGTGTGAAGGTTAGAGCCTGCCAGAATAAGTGCTAATGAAATTTCCCAATCTTCTTTGTCACTTTGAGTTAAGAACATTCCATTGTTATGCAGCTCCATTGATTAACTGATTAGCAGTGTCATAGATGGCGTTGGCTAACTTGAATATTCATTTGCATATCAATGACACTGACAGTGGGAATGAACTATAGAGACGACTCTGGGTAGTTCAAGGTTAAAACAAGCAGAAGTTTTCTTATTGCAGAGACAGCTTAGGCAGTGCATTATGTGCTTAAATATATGCTCGTTATTCTAGTATTAAAAATAACAAGGTTTGAATTTACCCTTCACCTGACTCTTTGTAATATTTGCATGAAGGCCTCCTCCACCTCATGAAAAAAGGATAGACTGTTTCTCCATCTCACTTTAAAAAATTTAAATGGAGCCAAAGATAAAAACAGAAACTCTTATATAGTCTGCATGCCGGTTGGTTTAACATGACAGTAGCCAAGTTGTTATTGGATGAGCAGCCAAAGCCTCTTTCCGCTCTTTGTTGAGTGGAAGGAGAGAAAGTGACACAGGATAGCCGAGGACTGCAGGGCGCCTGTGATCCTAAGGATTACAAGCGTTACGCTGAGCGCTGATGAGCATGTTGGCTGTTGTGATGTCATTCTGCCCACATCACATTCTGCTGGCGACATAAAATGCTCTTAATCATTCATGGCCCTGTCACCACTTGTCTCAGTTCAAGCTAGTGCCATGTGGGACTCCATTACATAAAGGCTTTGTCACTGACTGGCACAAAAAACAAAAACCGATTCTCAACTGAAGCAAACTAACAATATCTTCATATTTTTAGGCACACTGAGTGCTCTGACACAAAGTTGTATAAGCCTTCTTTGTGTTGCATCAGTAGCTATCCAATAGGAATATGATCTTCTGTGTGAAAAAGAGCTAAAATGGAATTTTGCCCCCAGCTGGGCTGGGAGTGTCAAGTGTCAGGTCAAACTGGAATCACTGATCAACCAATTCCTTTTCAACACAATGTATGAGTAAATGCTCGGGTTTAACAGCGTTTTTGTGTTTAAATTATTTTCTACTTAGATGTCTAGACGGAGTTGTAGTTAAGCCCCATACTTTCATTTCTTTCATCTAGCTAGTAACAGTAATAAAATGAGAAGAACAAAGGGTCACCTAGAAACAGAAAACCAAACAATAAGATACTCCTGCTCACCTATTGTGCAATGAAATCTATCTAAAAGGTCACCATTTCCTCTTCAAATACACTCTACTGATGTGAATGAAAATGAGTCCTTGAATCTGTTTGCTTTTCCAAAATAACTTTTTATAGTGCTGATAGTCATGCTGCCAATGACTTTAACAATCTAAGCATTAAATGTACATATAACTGATGACAGCATGGACAAATTTCCCCAGAGAACTAAAAAACAAAGAAGAAACATCCCTTTTCTGTGTAAAAGAACATTTAACACTGTCACCGTTTCATATGGAGAGCATTGAACCATTCTGGAGTGTTATTTTGAAACTGAATGGTGAAAATGACTGTGTCATTTCTCATAATGTATTTTTTTTACAAAGTACTGAAAGGCTAAAACTGAATATGACAGGACTCCAGGCAGGTCATGCTTCATTTTTTTTTGTCACAGCCACAATAATGGGGTCTTGATGACCCTGCGGGGTTTTGAAACTATTCCTCATCAAAGACCAAGGGGCTCCCCAAGGCATAAAATGGGCCATTTCCTAGAATGACTTAAGGTGTGAGGTTTGCACCTTTTGATATTCGAGAACTCAGTGACATCTTTTGTGCTGAGGTTGAATGTCTTCGAGTCACATGGCACATCAAAAGCTTCCGCCCCTCAGCTATTGCACTGTGAACTTTGTCTTATTGCCTGGCATGTGGTCACCAGGAAGGGTTAATCCATCTGAATGAGTTGATCTCTCCATGTAGGGGATAAAATCTTTCTCGCTGTTTCTGGTCAGCTTAGAGACAGGAAGCCCACTTGGTAGCCAGTGCTCAGCTCTGACGTTGCCATAGAGAAATACAAAACTTTGTGCAGCAGGGAGGAACATGTAAGATGATGAGTTGTCTTTAGCGGTCACCCACACATTCAGCAATCTTTTGTGCAGCAGATACTAATGGGGCAACTGCACAATGCATGAAATAATAAAGGGTTTACCCAATGATGGATCATACTGCATTAATTTAACAACAGTGCCTCTGCTCCGGAGGATATTGGTGGTGTTTGTTTGCTTTAAGCTATAATCTTGTAATTTGGCACCCAGTTGCGGCGTAAATAGCTTTAGTAACAGTAAGCTCTTTCCAGTTGTCACGTATATGGGTGTGAGCTTGAACTCAAATAGCTTTTTCAACAGAACAAGAAAATAAGCCTTTGGAGTACTATCCTTATTAGATTTGGTCTTTGTTCAACCACTGTGAGAACAATGTGTCTCTTCCATTAGCACCAGAACTACTGAAGAAATCTTGAATGAAGGTGGTGAATATGGAAGATAAAAATGTGGCAGTGGATAGAATTTAGTACTCTTTGGGGATGATCTGTCTTTTGAAAGAAGAGCAAAAAAAAAAAGAAGAGCACTAGCTTTTATCATTTATCAAGCCCCCCTCTGTTCCCTCTAGTGCATCAGTTCCCTTTCCAATTGAATGGGTTCTTGTCAGAGATGCAAATGTTTTCATGGGTGACGTTTCTTTGGAATATTGTTGAGTGAAGCCCCCTTTCATTCATGGGGGATACGCATGCAGCCCTAGAGCGTGGGCTTCAGCGTGAGTTTGAAAACACTGAGAGTAATGGTATTTCTGTCTGGCTTAAACAATTGAAGCCATTGTTAATGTCAGAAACACATGGAGCTAGTAGACTGTAGCTAGCACATAAGTGGGTGTTTAAACCTCTTTTCCACTGCATTTCTGTTCTAAGATCATGTTTCAAGGTTTAAGTGGTTTAAGGTCAGTTTGGTCTAAGGATTAAAATTAGTTGTATAGTCATTTGGCATGGAAAAGATCAAACTGACCTGTGAAAGAATCATTCTGCTTTCCAAAGGGGGTTTCAAAACCTTTTAATCTGCTACTTTTCACCAAAGCTTTATAGACAAATGTAATAGAAGTTGCTGATATATGTTATATGAAAAACAGATTAATACGGAACAAAATACACTGCGTGAAGTGTTCAAGTGTTGCCTACGGGGTTTAAAAAGACAAATTCCACCCAAAAAGAGAATAACATAAAAAGCAGTCTTTGGAAACTATTTATCTCTTGAAGACAGGGGAGGGTGAGAGCAAAATGTAGTTGGTCTGGAGTTTTCTGAGCTGTGCTGTAAGTCGATCCATGCTGAAGAGATGTTGTTCCTCTTCAGTCTTTTTTTTTTTTTTTTTTTTTTTTTCCCTTCTTTCTTTTATTTCTGCCAGCTTCAACTGCTCTAGCTCACAGTATCCTGTGTCTTGCTGGTTATGTAACAGGCAGGGGCCTAAATGGGAACTAAAGCACAGCAGTGATGGCAGGCACTGCAGCCCATGAAAAACGGATCACAACAGCAGCCCTAGACTTTTAGAAAAAGCTCAAAAATGTATCAGATGAATCGTACTAATTTGAATAGGAATGAAGTTTACTATGGTAGAACTTCACAGGGGCTATTGTGACTGGGTTGGAGTAAGGTGAGGGTGCTTTGAACTTTGTACAAGAGAGCCTTTTCACGATTGCATAACACCCTTACAGTCTTCTGCACAGAAAACCTTTTAGAGTTTAGAACCACTCAAGTGAGCCTTCATTTTGAAGCCCTGGCTACCAAACTTTCCATGCTTGATGGAGATCAGAAAAGAGCGTTTTATGCAATAGTGAGTAATGAGAAATGAATAGAAAGAATTCTTCAAAGCAGAATGTTACATTTTTATCTCAGTTTAATGGAATCAATTTTTTTTAAACTTGTTTTCACTTTGCCTGCCATGTTGCAGAGCTACATTTAGTTTACAGAACTACTGATGTGGTTTTAATGCTCTGTATTCTCCTTCTTCTTCTTCTTCACCACAGGCTTTTTCAACCAAGGACCAGAATGGCTCTACTCAAACACCTGAAGTTATATGTGCTTTGACAACATCCCTTACAATTGCTAAAAACTTTGAAAGGAACTCTCCTGACCACCTTCAGATCCTAATTTAAGTTTTACCTGTGGATCGTTACTAAAAGACTGCCATCATGCCCATTCTTAAGCAACTGGTCAGCAACTCCAATCAGTCAAAGCGGAGGTCTCGGGCTGACCTGACCGCAGAGATGATCAGTGCTCCGCTGGGGGACTTCCGTCACACCATGCACGTGGGCCGAGGGGGCGATGCCTTTGGGGACACCTCATTTCTCAGCACCCGTTCAGGAGAACCTCCCAGGGAGCCAGACAAAAAGCAAGGCTCACCAAGTTCCAAGCCCGGGCTTCTGTCCCGTACCTTCAGAAACAGCAAGCGATCTCAGTCTGTAAATCGGGCGGACAAGTGTGAGTACAATGCGATGGCACCTTCTGCCGGCTCCTCTCAGTTTGTGAAGACTGCCATATCCCTGCCGTACCTGAACGACGAGGGTACTAACAGAGGTATCCAACTGCCAAAGAGCGTTTCCTCAAGCCCAATGAAGAAGGTGAATGAGATCGAAAGCAAGCCGTTAAATGGAGCAGCAGCTATGGCAGCCCTTGATCCAGAGCTTGAGGAACGGGATTTTGGCGAACCTACAGATTTGCCTCCATCCATGCCTAAGGGAGGTGGGATGAAGCACGCAGAGTCTATAATGTCCTTCCACATTGACCTGGGCCCTTCGATGCTCGGGGACATCTTGAGCGTGATGGAAAAGAAAGGTTGGGAGGAGGATGACCTTGGCTACGAGGAAGGCAAGGGAAGCGAGGGCCATGCTTCGCCGTCCCTCATTCCCCACATAGATGATGACGATGCAGAAGAGCGAGCCCCTGCAAGGCCTCCTCGCAGCATGTACCAGCAAAAAGCCATGGTGGATCCCTACACCCCTGAGCTACAAACCAAGAACAACCACCACAATATGGATAGCTGCTCTGTGTCCAGCTCTGGTTCTGAGGAGAAACCTAACTACCGCCTCCATGACGGTGACACGGACAGTGCAAAGTACAGTTCCCCACGTGGGGGAGAAGGAGAGAGAGATTTCACCTTCATGGACGAGGATGATGACGATGAGATTAGAGTTTAGACTTTAGCTGCCAAGAACAGTTGAAAAGGACTGTAAACATGATAAATAAGGCTTTTTCACCATGCTGTAGGTAGGGTGGGGTAAATGCACGCTACAGTGCAGACTGACTGGCTCACAAAGTGGCCCTTTTTGAAGTGTTTGGGTTTACTCATATTACTGGTAGTCTCAGTTTTCCCAAAAAAGTATTGTTTACCACATTTAAACCCTTAACCAAGAAGAAGCAATTGCAAACCATTAGTAAATAATATCACAGACATATCATTTTAAGAAGAGAGAAGAGATGACAGTGAGATTGGGTAATGTGGATGTGTGGTATGGATTCTGTGGAAGGATGTAGGGAAAGGATGAGGAGTGAAACCAAGATGGCGTTAGAATCCCAGTGTGTGTGAGTGAATATGGGGTTTTATTTGCCAATGACACTATTTTGGCATAGACACTAAACAGAAAAAGTTATGCCTTTTTAAGAGTTTAACAGTTGATTTATGCTATTTTCTACTTTATTGTATCTGCAGTATCTGGGAGTTAGTATACAGCAGCCTGCTGCTGTTTTGAGTTGGGTAGATTATTATTTTGTTTCCATTTTTCATTGGGAATATCTGCATTCTTTAAATTCACAGACAGCTGTAATATTTATTAATTTGTTGTCATAAGGGATGGATCATTCTTAATGTGCACTCCTTAGTCTTAAAATTGTGTTGTTGTTTTTTCCAGATATCATAATTTCTTATGGGTACTAAAGACAGAACCATCTTCTTTGTTAGAGGTTGGCTGAATTGCACTTAAATACTGGCCTTAAGTAGGCAATAAATAGTCTTAAATCACTCCTGATCCCATGTTCATTACAGGGAAATGTCTTTTACAAAATCAGAGTTGGTGAAAGATTTTATTTTTTTTAATACAGAAAAACTGTGAATTGTCAAAAAGAGGCCTTTTGTAAGTGTTATGTGTCTTGTACTTTAAAAAAAAAAAAGCAAGACAGGAATTGTGATTGTGGTAAAATATGTGTGTCTGTCATGCCTCTCATTCCGCTTCTTAGCTGAAGTAGGATTAGCAGGTCAGTGGAAAGATGTAAGACATTTGTGAAGGGAGTTGCCACCATATAATTACATTTAAGCATTTATGCTTCTGTCAAAAGCATTCCCTCTCTCTGTACATGTGTCCAGGCTTGTCTCTGAGAGCAGAGAAAGGATGTAGCATGTTTAAAGTGTTATTAGAGGACTGCTACTTAACAGATGGGCATCAGGTATGTCTCTGAGCAATGAGAAGGATATTTACTTCCCAAAGTGGACCCAAAGGTGATAATACTCAACTCCTTTACCCAACCAGAATCACATAGTAGGAACAGATGATTAAATCAACCAATCATCTGGCTTCTCCCAGTCTACTCATTAAATGTGCGAGAATATTGGCCCCCGACCAGCTGGAACTGCTCCAGAAACAGATAGGTGGGCTGTTTCCCTTTGGCTTTTTTTGTGTTTAGTTGGTTACACTCGGTAGGCTACTCCAGATTACTTTCAGCTAGAGCTGGGCGATAGAACGATAACGATATGTATCGCGATATAACTTTTACTCGATAGAGAAATTAAGCTATCGCGATAGACCTCGCCGCTCTTGTCCTCTTAAAAAAAAAAAAAAAAAGGTCAGCCAATCCAAATTAAGTAGCGCAGAGCCGAACCAATCACAGCCGCAGCGTCACGTCGCGTGACTTGTTACGTACAGAACAAGTGCCAAGCCGCACGTGTGTTTGTTTGGGAAGCAGCCAGCGGGTAATGGAGCCAGCGCGTAATGGAGGAAATGAGTGTGCCGACTAGAAAAATCAACCGAGCGTGACCGAAGAGAAAACAGATGATGGTTCCAATGCCGGAGAGATTGTCGAACGGAAGAGCCATAGAAGCTCCGTAGTGTGAAGGTATTTCGGCTATTTCAAGTCTGACAAAAAACAGAGTAGCGTGCACTGTAAATTGTGCCGAAAGCAAGTCTGGAAATACAATAAACTGGTGCATGCGTCACACTGTGCGCCACGTTATTGTTTCGGTGAAATGAATTTCTACAATACTGTTACTGTTAATTGTACTCTCTGCAGTGTTTAAATGCTTACATATACACACAGTTACTGTCCGTCCACACATATGACTGTTCTGCTTCTATGCCACAGCTTTGTTTACTTTTTCCCACCGAGGCTTCTAGACTTCTGATTGGCCAACATTTCTGCACGGTTAGGAATCTAGCGCCACCTGCTGCTTTGGCATGTTCATAGCAGCGTTTTCTTTCATTTCTCCCTTTATGTGTGGACGGGATTATTTTTAAAACGAAAACAGAAAATCTCCGTTTTCAAAAATACCCGTGTATGTGTGGACGTAGCCTCAGTCTCTGACTGGAAGCGCTAATTCGTCATTCGGCTTTTGTCAGACTAAAGTAGCTGTTAAAACTGTTTGAAAAGCTCAGCTATACAACAAGGAGAGATTGAGAATTTCCTTTTAGTTCTCAGTTTATTTGATATTGACAAAAGTTAGTCAGTTTTGTCTGTTCTTCTGTAAAGCAAACTAAGATTTATTTTTAGAATTAATATTTTGTTTCTAAGTGGAATTGACAATTTAGTCTGTTTCGTTTGTTCTGTTTTGAAACTTAAACGCTTTAGCAGCTGCCTTTTGTGTAGTTTGCAATATTTGCCTTTATCTATCTGAAAAAGTCTCATGTTCCTTAAGTACATCTACCCTGTTGAACTTATTATGGGAAATAAATATTTAAATAAAAACAAGCTGCTGATTATTTCACATTTTACTTGTGAGCAACAGCACATTTAAAACTTACAAATATAGTTATTTGGCTTATATCGTGATAGATATCGTTATCGCCTGAAATGAAAAAAACATATCGTGATATGAAAAAATCTCATATCGCCCAGCTCTACTTTCAGCTATAAATTACACAGAAAGAGTGCGTACTTTACTTTCTTGTATCCATGATTAATGTCTGACCTTCTTCTATTATTTCGTGTTTTTAAAAAAACTAATTGCCACATTTGACAAATGTTAGCTTGGAATTTCCTGTTGTGGCACTGATGCAGGGTTGTGTATATAGAATCAGGATGCTGTGCCATTCTGTTCTGGGTTGTTGTAATGTTTTGGAACACTATGTGCCCGTATAGATTGCAAGACGTTCTGAAACTGAAGGCGATCCTGAGGAAATTGCCAAGTATGTTAACTATATTGTTGGATAAAGTATAGAAGTCCTGAGTGGGGAAAAAAAGTGGGTGTCTGTTTTTCTTTTTTTTAATGCATGATCCAAAATGTTTTCTTATGCCAGGGTATTTTAAATTTATTTTGTAGGAAGTTTGTTTTTGGGTTTTTAACATATTTTCACTCAGTCGATTGGGGTGGAAATAAATTGGAAACATTTAATTGTAGTTTTTCACTTTGATTTTCATTTTTCTGTTACATTCTGGTTGTAATTGGTTGGTTTTTCAGCATCAAAACTACTGGTTAGTTAAATGAAAGAAATGTGGCCCTGGCAGAACTTTTCTTTTTCCTTACTTTAGTGGAAACCTTTCTCTTCACCTGTCTCACAGATGTGGGGGGAAAAAATCACTCTGAAAGATTACACAGACAACACCTTAATTTTCAACTCCTCACTTGCCTCTCAGGGCTTCTGTAGTAATGTTAGCAGCACATTGGATTTAGTTTTTTTCTACTTCTGTATAGATATGCATTATAGACCTCTTTTTATATTTCAGTGTATATGGGCCAAATCTTAGGATGTCTTCTGTTGATCAGTTTTGTAACATGTAGTGTTTGGGGTGATGCAATCCCTTTTGTTCATCTCCAAGACGTTTGCTGTTATCTTTTGATAAAATAATGTACATATAGGTAGTGCCATCAGCGATTACAGTAAACAAGCTTTGTTACCAGCAGTGTGACTATGAGATCCTACTAAGCAAACAGACAAATATTGGATTTAACATGATATGGTACATATGTGGTCAGATTGTGTTTGCATTGCGACATTTTCACAGCTGTCTGCAACACCAGACAGTATATTGCTGTAGATTTTGGAAGACATAAATAGAAAATTGTGGAAAAGTACACAAAATTATGCTAAAATACTTAATGTATTTTAGCATAATGATCTTAACTTTCGGGCATTTGTTGTGTTTCTCTGTGGGAAACTCCTAAGTAGGCCAGAATAAACCATGTAAAAGAATTTGCAAACACACTCTGCCCCAGGTCTGCTTAGAAGTTTTTCATTCCCTGACAGCAATGGTGTGGGGAGTGAAAAAAAAAAAAGAGAGATAAGAACTGCGTAAGACAGCTGGCTCAAAGTTCAGCTAAAGAATGTTTCCTTTTTTTCCCCCACTGGCTTTAGTGATATGCCAAGTATGTACTGTTTTCTTTCCCTGTTCCATATTCTGGTTTTACAGTATATTAATATATTTATCTTCACTTTTCTTTCTTTGAAATAACTTCTATATTTTTCAATAAAAGAGAAAGCTGATAATCTTTTACTGTGATCAACTTTCTTTTGTTTCATATTTGCAAATCTGTCATCGCAGGCTGCGTAATTTCCAAACTTTTTAAATATGTAACATTGGGCACAAAACAGGCAGAAAGCTCAGTATAAACTGTACCGTCTACTGCAAGGTCAGATTTCAATGAGGGAACTGCAGAAAGAGCCAAATCCACAGTTTAACAAACACACTCTCGCAGTGGATTATTCTACGCAAATAACCCTGAAATGAAAGATAAAACCCCGTGTTAACAGTTTTCACATCCCATCATGGCAAGTGGAGTCCTGTGAGCTAATTAGGATCCTTCAGCCACACTGCTTTTGATAGGCTTTACAGCCTCGTTAATACAACAGAGCAGTCCTTAAAACGTGCACGGTCTCATCACCATTCATGAACCTTACAAACGAGAGTCAAAAAGGCTAGAAAACATGCATTTATGGAGTGTTAATGATTGATAAGAAGAGTAGTACAGAAATGTACAGATGGAATAAATCTGTTTGTTTTTGCTTTTTTTAAACCTTAAATGGTTTCTGCTATTAAAAACAATCTGGATATGCGATAATATGTGCATTAGCTTTACTGTTACCAGATTTAACTTGCATGTCTGGGTTCAGTGCAGCTAGTCAAAGGGTTATGAAGAGGATTGTGATCCTAGGTCCAAAAACAGCAGCTTTCTTGTTGAAATACAAGCTTTAAATAGATACCTGGATCATTTCTGAAGCAATTTTTCAAATACATCTGGACAGATTAAATTGGCTTCATTTGGCATAACCATGGAAAATCACTGGAAAATATAACAGGACATTTATTCAGGGATGCACTAAAACAAACAGTTTTAGGTTGTTAAATATACATTTGTGAGGGAATACTTCATATCTGACTAAAATGTATTTTATTTGTTTCTTTTCTTAAATCCTCCATCCATTTTCTTCTGCTTATCCACATCAAGGTTGCTGGAAGGGCTGTCATAGGTGTGGCACACCACAGGCAGCAAAAAGGAGTCTATCATAGCACTTATACATTTTTAACCCCTTTTTTTTATTATACCACTTCTTCTTACTGTTATTAAAAATGTCAGCGATGAAATTATTCAGCAGTAACACTTCTCTACTCTACTTCGCAGCACTAGTCACTATGACACTTCTCATGAATAATAAACACATTTACATTTTATGGCTGTTCACTTATGTAAGATTTTAAAAACTTGATTTACTATTGGAATTTTTTTTTCCAATGTTAAATAATTTGCTTTTTTTCTTTTTTCCCCACCACGGTTGAAAAAGTGCCTTGAGTCCAGTGGCAAATTCAGAGCAGTTTAATTAAAAAGGATAGTTTTCTTTTTCTGCTTGGCAGCTCTCCGTAAAGCCGTCTATACACACCAGGAAAAAAAAAGTGGTGCTTAAGTGTGAATTTCAATAGTTTGAATGAAAAAAATTAGTTGTGGATAGGCTCATTTAAAGATATGCTACTATTGCCCTCTAGTGTTATTTTCATGCAAATACAACTTGAAAATGGATGGATGACAATAAGTTGGAGTGAAAGAGACCAAGTCTGTGGCAGCGTCTGCATTGCAAATAATTATTTATGTTTGTTTTTACTATTTCCCCCCCAATGTGCTAACCAGTGCAGTGCCGTGCCAGCCTTAACCAATATCAGAAGAGCAAAAGACAGTCAATGGGTAATAAATATATCTACACATCGGAAATCTAAATACAGTCTGTGAGCTTATTTCAAATCTCTTTCATTTAAACTGGTTTATGTCAGGTTATTATGGTGTTGGGGGAAAAAAAGGATATTCTGCAAATTCCAAAAGCTCAAGCAGATTTCTCAGACTGGTCTGAAGAAAAAAAAATATATTCATAGGTTTTCCATCCTTATTCTCCGACATCTTCTCCACAGTGGGAAAGAGTTTGGGGAGATTTAAAATGTCCTCTCTGTTCTTTATACAAATACACCAGGAGTGTGTAAATTTGCTGGAGAAAGCCAGCTCAAATTCCCATTTTCATTAAATCATCTCAACCACAAGCTGACCTTTCTTGTGACCCAGTTTCTGTTTCTCATCCAAAA